ACAGGCAGGCTTTTCTCAGCCAATAAATAAACACACAGGAAATGTGTAGATCCTTCTGAGCAGATTCTCACAGATTCCTCATCCCCAAGATGCAAGCCCCTTTGTCCTGGAGGCTGTGCCCTGGGTGGTCCTAAGGCTGCCGGCCCAGGGCACCCGCAGCGCTTCCTTAGGCTGCACATGCTCCCCTGCGGACCCCTCCCCTCCAGTATCTGCAGGCAACGCCTCGGGGTCGCCCTGGGAGGCAGGGTGGGTGCCCAGCTGGCCCACGTCTGCATCTGGGCCAGGAGCAGCCAGCGCCCAGGTGCTTTCCAGGTCCCGGCTCCCGGGAATGAGGCAGCGGCGCTGGGATGTGGGCAGAGAGACCACAGGTGGCTGACACACACGAGGGCAAAGGGCTCCGTGTTCACAGAGGAGGAGGTTCTGCATTTGAAACAACATGGATGGACGCTGAGGACGTGACGCCGAAGGACACAAGGCAGACACAGGAAGGTGACTGCAGTATGAGGTGGTTCCTGAAGAGAAGTCCCAATCATGGAAGCAGAGAGGAGAGTGCAGGCTGCCGGGGGCTGGAGGGCCGGGGGGAGGGAGAGAGTTGGTTAGAGGCTCAGTTTGTGTGATGTGAGTACGTTGCGAGAGTCTGATGTCCAGTGTGGTGACTCTAGTTAGTAATTCTGAGCTGTTTATTTGAAATTTGCTAAGAGTTGATTTTTAAAAAATATATATATTTTTTATTAATTTCAGAGAGGAAGGGAGAAGGAGAAAGAGATAGAAACATTAATGATGAGAATCATTGATTGGCTGCCTCCTGCATACCCCCTACTGGGGATCAAGCCAGCAGCTTGGGCATGTGCCCCTGACCAGAATCGAACCTGGGACCTTTCTGTTCGCTCTATCCACTGAGCCAAACTGGCTAGGGCAAGGGAGTAGATCTTAAGTTATTACCACATACATAGACACAGTGGTACCGATGTGAGGTGAAGGGTGTGCTCATTAATTCGATTGATCATTTCACAATGTATAGGGATGGTAAATTATCGTTTGTACACCTTGAATATATTCAATTTGTAGCGGTCAAGTACCCCTCAATACTGCTGCGAAATAAAGAGAAAAAAGAATAAATGTTCAGAAATCACAGCGTTTTCTGCAGGTAAACTATTTATGGACTCTTTAAAAAACTCCTGTGGCGGGAATGGGGGTGAAGAATGAAACAAAAGTCTCCCAAAAAGGGAACAAAGAAACTATTTGTTTGAAACTTTTTCTCTTATTAAACATCAGTGTCTGGGTATCAAGTTTAGATAATTTTATTTTATTTAAAAAATTTTTTTAAAATATATTTTATTGATTTTTTACAGAGAGGAAGGGACAGGGAAAGAGAGCCAGAAACATTGATGAGAGAGAAACATCAGCTGCCTCCTGCCCACCCCCCACCGGGGATGTGCCCGCAACCAAGGTACATGCTCTTGGCCAGAATCAAACCTGGGACTCCTGAGTCCATAGGCCGACGCTCTATCCACTGAGCCACACCGGCTAGAGCAGTAATTGCCATTTTAAATGTCATATTCCAAGGGCGGTCGTACTCTCTAACTTTATCCACCCTTATTTGAAAACCATGCCTAACATGTGTAAAGATTAAAAGTCTGATTTCTGCTTATCGACCATTCACTTAATTACTGCTCTACAGTAAGTTCAGACCCAGGTCTCCAGAGAAGTGTATCAGTTTGCATTCTCATTTATTAAGAATGTAAACCTAATACTAGCTCATGTCCAGCCCGATTCCGTGACACCTTCCTGTTATGCTGTTGGTTTTCACAGCTTTTTAATTCCAACAACACGTCTCCTGACGGGACCTCCTCCTCTGAGCCAGAGGGGCCCCCCAAGTTTCCCCTCACGGCAAAAGATCTGTCCATGTGAATTCCTTTTATGTCGGTGTTTTAATTGAACACTAAAAAAGTAACAGTTCGTGGAATACAAGATTTAGTGTGGCACATAAAAACATAAAATGACAATAATAAAAGAATCCTCTCGCTCACATAAATTAAGCCAAAGCCCTAAAAATTCAGCTTATGAAGACCATATATCCTGCGGTTGATTTTCCATTTTCAGCCCCAAAACGCAATAAATTACGGAGCATGCGCCTGGGCCTGGTGCCACTCCGACACATTCATTCCCCCCCTGAAACATCTCGGCCGAGGCTTATCATATTTGTCTTTCCCAAATCTTTATTAACTCCACCAAAAGCGCTTATTGAAGGCCTACCTTCCCCGTGATCCCAGGGGCTTGCAGCCAGTAAAAAAACAACAACAACAACAAACAAAACAAATTAGGACTCTGCTATTCACATACATTCTGGGGAAATCAATAGTTTTAATTTTCACGGGGAGGCCCCACAATTTTCCACTGACGGCCTCAGCAGGTTTTAATGGACACAAACAATTTACTTTTACTGTTTTAATTGTTCTTAGTCAATCGCTTTTTATTGCCCTTTACATCTGACTAAACAAATGAATCGAGCTCGATTCATAAATGATGGCATGGTAACATGGCCGGGCCTGGCTGTTTCCGTATTTTGAGTCTCAATGGCAGGCGTTCTGGACGTTAAAGCAGAAAACGGAACCAGTCCGGAGGGAAATGGCAGAAAACGGTGGCTCCGGAAGGTAAGGGGCACGGCAGGGGGAGGGGAGATGGGAGGGGTCCCCTTCTCCTACCTGGATGCCAAGTGCCCCCCAGCGGTCCCCTGGAGAGAGGTGAGAGGTTCCGCTTGCTGGGAGCCTGGAGGAGGTCAGCTGAGCTAACTAGGTGCACAGGCTGCTGGGATGTGACCCTCGGTGCCTGGAATCAGGAAGATCCTCTCCAGCGGCAAGCTGGCACTGCCCACGGGCATCGGGGGCACCTCTGCGTCTAGCAGACCGGGGTGCGGAAGCCCCTTCTCCCTGAGCCGCCCCCAAAGTGCCTTCACGCTGTGAAAAGTCACAGCTCCCTGGTGCCTCACGCGAGCCTGGCTGGATCCCAGGGGGTCTGACTTTTGCAAACTCAATTCCGTGCAACGGAAATAAACAAGCCGGAGGATGGACGGGTGGGAAGGGGACTCAGCGCGGACGGCTGTCCCTGTGTCCCCCGGGGTGAGGACCTGGCCTCCGGGGACTGAGACTGGAAATGTTACGCAGCTGCCCCCACAGTGGCTGTGAGCCTGAACGGACTCGCAAGCACGCCAGGTGCTCAGGGGAGCAGCACAGGCCACGGCGGGAGATTAGGGGAGGGGTCCTGCTGTCTGTCGCAGGTGAAAGAAGTGACCTTTCTTCTCCGGAAACTGGGTTCCAGCCTCCGAGGCCACAGAAAAAAAAGGTGTTGTGGCTGAGTCCCCCTTCCTTCCCGCCAATTGTCCGCATCGGCAGGAGTGGATGTTCTTCAGGCCTTTAACCAAAGACCCGGTTAGTCACAGCCCCGGACTGACGGGAGGCGGGGAGGCGAGGCTGCAGGTGACCCTCGTTAGGAGTGGATTTCTCTCCAATCCTGAGACGGGGGTATGTAGGGGGGAGCTCGTTAATAAACCGCATTTCTTACATTTCTGTGTCTCCTCGAGTTTCCCGCTATTCATAAAATGATGATTTCTGAGGTCTCTTCCGTTTTCTTTCAGGAGTTGATTGGCTAAATTAGATTCGGGGAAACCCTCGCATTGCATTGTAAAAACCCAGGGTTAGTTACTTAAACAAGTGATTTAAAAACAAGCCAGCATGGGAGGATCTGGCATATGTTGGCTTTATCTCCCTCCACGCTGTGGTGAGCGGCACAGGGAACCCCCTCATCCAGAGGCTCATGGGGAGCCCGGTGAGCAGCCCCTCGGCCTGAGCCCGGAGCTGCCTGCTCAGGGAGGTGGGAACTGTGTTCTTCCGGCCGCACTGTGCCCTTCCCCCATCGTTTTAATGAGAGCGCGAGGGGAGCAGAGCTATTTCCCTAAAGACACCAACCCCTCTGTGCCTGGCAGCAGCGCTTGCCTTTATAGTTCATCCCAGGGGTGCCTGTTCCCTGGGAGACAGGGCATGCGCCCAGAGGGCGCTGCTGCGGGAAGCTCACCTGGAGACGTGGAAACCAGGCCAGACGCTCCTCCTGCGGGAGCCTCTCTCTCCACCTGCGGGGCTGAGCAGAGGAATGGATTCCCTCTGCCCGGCCGGTCCTGAAAGAAGTGATGGGCAGAGGGCTTCATTGTGAGCGTGAGCATGTCTTCATCAAGTGGTTCTATTGCAGAGTGTGGCTCCGAGGCTCAGGGGCCCCGAGGGAGATGAGTTTGGGCTGGGAGAGGGTCTGTGGGAGGAATCTATGCCCCAGACATGTGGCATCGTGGCAGAGGATGCCTGTGCTGAACATTAAGGTCCTCAAAGATAGTGGGGTGGACGCCCACCCCCACTTTGGTGACCTGGGCTCTTCTATGGACATGTTGTGTGGTTTTCAGACGCACCTTAGACACGGGAGGGTGGCCTCCTCACAGCCGATGTCAATGACCACCGCCAGGCAGAGATGGCAGCAGTCCACCAGAGGTTTCATCCTGAGCGTGACCCTGACCCCTAAACGTGTTCATAGTTATTCCCGTTTGTAGGAGGCGGGGCCATGGGGAGGCTTTCTTAAGGTGACCAGACGTCCCGCTTTTGGCGGGACAGTCCCGAGTTTTAACAATCGGGACAAATTGTTAAAACGCTGCAGGACGTGGGGCAAATTGTTAAAACTCGGGGCCGTCCCGACAAAAGCGGGACGTCTGGTCACCTTCGTTCTACAAGAATGACTGCCAGCAAGCAGGGTCACACGGTGAGTTCGATTCCTTACTTTTCGCCGACAGACCTTGGGTTTCTACCTTTCTACGAAGGAAGGGTTTAATGACCCGAGAAGCAGCAGGTAATACAGTGAAGGGAAGAAAAAAAAAATCAACACGGCAAAGGGCTTTCATTTTCAAGGCACCCCTTCAAAAAACAAAAAAACAAAACAAAAATGAGAAACCACTTCCAAACGTATCAAATAGAAAATAATTTATTTCAACTTCATTTTCTTTAATGTTCGTGAGTATGCACAACGTTGTGAACTCTGCCTGTAAAAAGAGCCCGTCCCTTCGCATCTACACAGAGAAAGGTCAGCGAGGAGAGCGCTTACACTGTCCACACACCGTCTCCGCTCGCGACGCCCCCTGTGGGCGCACCTCGGACCCACCGGCTGCGCTATTTGCACACGTGCTCTGCACTCCTGGGTGGCTGCTCCATCCTCAGCTTTCTGCTTACACCTCGACGCCTGCCTGGGAACTTGAACCAGAAACATGTGTACAGCTGTGAAACATACATTTAAACACGGCGGTTTGGTTACGTGTATTCAACCATTAACTGGTTGGGTGGTTTTGAGCTGAGGCCCTGACCTAAATCATATATTAATGGTCACTCCTAAGACACACATTCAGGAAAGGAACGTTATAAAACAGGATTCCGTTAAAAAATACACAATGGTAGTTGTATTCTCGGCAGGAAAAAAAAAAAGCAAGTGTAACTTCTCCCATGTGAATATAGTTTGAACACATTCTCCCATGGAAGGATGCTCCAAAAGACCTTTTTGAAATTGAAGCACTTTCTGCAAAAGGTCACAAGTAAAAAAGCAGCCCTGCTAGCTGAGCAAGGCCCTGCTTGTCCAGATTGCCTCCAGAGATAGCAGTTCTGGGCGGCTTTTCTCCACTTTCAAATAGCGCCCTGCCCCCTGGAAGGGTAGAGGTGGACTGTACACATGACCTTGTCATCTGACACACAGAGACTTGCCGCCTTGAACGAGGCAGGGTTTTCTACCGCCAACGGTAGCGCCGTCTTATATCCAGGCCGCTTAGACAGTCGTCACGGAGAGGAAGGAATTGTACACCCTGGTGCCGTCCGGGGACTTGGTGCCGTGGGTCAGGAGCTCCTGGATGGTCATCCAGTTGTCCAGGATCTTCTTGTTCCTCCTCTTCATCATCTTCTTGTGGCTCAGCTCCAGGATGCTCACCCCCCTCCTGTCCTCCTCTGTGGCTGTAGCGGGCTGCTCCCCGCGGGCGGGCCCGTCCAGCCGGCTCTGCAGCAGGAGCGCCCGCCGCCGCCGCTGCTCCCGGGCGCGCGCCACGTGCTGCTTGCGCTCCTCGCGGCTCCAGTAGCGGCCCAGCTTCAGGTCGCTGGCCGCGTCGTCATCCGTGGTGACCCCGCTGCGCTCCTCGCGGATGCGCAGCGCGCGCTCCCGCAGCAGCCGGTCGCGCACGGGCCTCTTGGTGATGTAGCGGGAGCCGTCGCTGCGCACCTTCACCTTCCACTCGGTGGCCCGGGGCTCGGGCGGGGGGCCCAGGTCCTTGCACACGCCCAGCAGGCTCACCTGGCTGTGCGCGTACTCCACCGCCGACTTCTGCTGCACCAGCTGCATGTAGCTGCGGTAGCGCCGCGCGTGCGCCGGGATGTGGGCCAGCTTGTGGGGCGCGGGCGCGGGGGGTGCGGGGCTGGGGCTGGGGCCGTCCTCCCCTGGGCTGCGGCGGCGGGGCTCCGGGCTCGGCGGGGCCCCGCGCAGGTCCGCCTCCTCCGTGATGCAGAGCGGGCTCTCCGGCGATGGCCCGCAGGCCCCTGGGGTCGCCGCCTCGGCCCCCCCTCTCCGCAGGGAGCTGTCGGGGGACGTGTCCAGGGCGAGAGGGGTGCTCCGGCAGCTCTCCCCGGTGTTGTAGGCGCTCGAGCTGTCCTTGTCCGACTTCTCGGGGAGCTCGGTGATGTCGGAGAGCTCCTGGCGGCGGCGCCCGCCCTCGGCCTCCATGGCGTCGCCGCAGCCGCGGAAGCCCCCGGGGGGCGGCAGCGTCCAGGCCTCGCGCAGCTGCCGGGCCCGGTGCGCGCGCACGACGCTCAGGCACTCGAGCTCGATGCTGCGCAGCTCGGCGTTGAGCAGCTCCAGCTCCCGGTCCACGCTCTCGGGGGCGCCCCTGCCCGCGCCCCGCCCCGCCGGGCACCGGAGCTCCAGCAGCTCGGCGTCCAGCAGCCGCATGGGCTCCCCGGGGTCCGCGCGCCCCGCCGGGCACTTGAGCTCCAGCAGCTGGCGGAAGCTCTCGCACTCCGCGTCGTCGTCGGCGCAGTCGGCCCAGAGCAAGGACTCGCCGCTGAAGGGCAGGTCGCCGCTGCCCAGCGTGTCCTGGCTGCCCGCGCGGGTCCTCGGCGCGGCCAGCGCGGCCGGCGCGGGTGCCTCGTCGCCGTTGTTCTCCGGCTCCGAGCTCTCGTCGTTGCGTGTGCTCTCGTCCGTGCGGCCCACGCCGCTGTCCTTCTCGTGCTGGGTGGACAGGATGGTGGCGGTGTCCGTGGTGCCCCCGTCTTCCTCGTGCTTCTTCTGCACAAAACAAGAATCAATGGTCACGGCGAGGGGTCTGGGGGGCAGCGCTACCTGTGACCTTTCCCTGCAGGACATGGCTGGGCGGTGGGGCGGCGGGCCTCCACCACTGGGCACAGGGGAGGGCTGTGGGCATGAGCCAGACCTTCCTGGGCGACCACGGATGCCGCCGGAAAAAGTGAGGGGACAGACGAAACGGGTTTGGCTCAGTGGATAGAGTGTCGGCCTGCAGACTGAAGGGTCCCGGGTTTGAATCCTGTCAACAACCTGGCATGTACCTTGGTTGTGGGCACATCCCCAGTAGGAGGTGTGCAGGAGGTAGCTGGTCGATGTTTCTCATCGGTGTTTCTAGCTCTCTACCCCTCTCCCTTCCTCTCTGTGAAAGTTCAATAAGATATATTTAAAAAAGAAAAAGTGAGGGGACAGCCGCCCGGCCTGGATGAATGGCCCCGAGCACATAGCCACCTCTAGCTCCCAGTCCGTGGGGTGTGCGGGACCGTGGAGGTGGCCTAGACAGGGCCGGGGCAGGGGCAGCTCAGGTTAAACGGGGAGGGGCTTCACGTTTGAAAAGGGGGCCATGTCTCTGCTCTACATCAGTGCCGCCCCCACGGGTGCTCTCTCCGCAAACGTGGAAGGTCAGAGGTCCCTTCCCAGTTCTGAGTGCAGGGCAGCGCTTCCCTCGGGGCCAGAAGGGCAAGCACGGCTTTCTGCTGCCTTCCAGGGGGGTGGGAGGTCTCCCCTGGTCCTTTTAGCTTCTAAGGGAGACCTGAGCGGTTTCCTGTAGCGGGCCGCCCACAAGGCTGGCGAGGGCTGGGCGTGGCCAGGCTAGGGCTGTGCTAGGGCGGGCGTGGCCGGGCAAGGGCTGGGCGTGGTCAGGTGAAGGCTGTGCTAGGATGGGCGTGGCCTGGTGAGGACTGGGTGTGGCCTGGCGAGGACTGGGCGTGGCCTGGCAAGGGCTGGGCGGGACTTGGTGAGGACTGGACGTGGCCTGGCAAGGACTGAGGGGCGGGGGTCTGGCGCAGGCTGGGCTAGGTTGGTGATGGAATGGCATGGCCAGGAGAGGGCTGGGCGTGCCCTGCGAGGACTGGGCGTGGTCGGGCAAGAGCTGTGCTAGGCTGGGTAAGGCCTGGTGGGGGGATGGGCGTGGCCAGGCGAGGCCTGGAAGGGCTTTGAGGGCAATGTGGCCTTACTTGCTGCAGCGCGCTGGCCGTGAACTGCATGGCCTGGTGGTGCTGCTCCTCCAGCATGTCCATGTGCAGGTCGTCCAGAAAGTCGTTCCTGTCGTCGTCCATCCAGCCCTCGTCCAGCTGGGGAAAAGCGGCACGCCTCAGAGGAGAGTTCCTTTGCTCTCATTTAATTCATTCATATTTTTTAAGAAAAGACATTTTCTTGGGGAAAAACATTTCCAGGGCAGTCTGCCTGCTGTTTGCTATATTCCAGGAAACGCCCTGCCTCACTCCGTCTGGGGGGCGCCTGTGTGTGTGTGTGTGTGTGGGGGGGGGGGGTCCCCAGTGTCTGCTGTTTCCTTTTGCAGGGTGGAACCCCTTCTCTCACATCAGCTATTTTCAGGCCTCGGTGCAGGGCCGGATACAGCAAGCCCCGCGCCCTGCCTACCGGCCCTACACCAGCAGCGAGGCCCCCTCTTCCTTGTCCAGAAAGAGCAGACCCTTCAGGGGCCCTTGATCGGCAGCCCAGGTGCCAAATCTGGCCTTTTATATCTGTTTTAATTAAAAATTTGTCGACAAATGTTTCTCTCTCTCTCTCTTTTTCTCTCTCTGTCTCTCATTTTACACGTGGGCAGCCAAAGGAAGGCCAAGAAATTTAAGCATCACCTTCTCCGCTGACACCCTGAAGCCAGAGTTTATTCCAATTTGCTCCTTTTCTGAGGAGGCCACACTGAGCCCCTTGGACAGGGAATCACTCTGGTGTCTTTCATCAAAAAATAAATAAAAATTGTTCTATGTTTAAAGGAGACATCATGATTTGATAAACGTAGTACAATCATTACAGTAGTCAAGCTAATTAACATCACCTCACAGTCACCTTTTTGTGTGGTAAGAGCACCTGCCATCTATCTACTCTCTCGGCACATTCGCAGGCGTCAGGGCAGTATCATAAATCCGGGCACACAGGGTGCTCCCCCTGCAGCTGTGACTGAGACACAGCGCTAGGCGGGGACCTAGGTCAGGGCTAGACCTCCAACATCTTGAAGGTCGCGACCCTGGTGCCTTCCATTCTGTTTTCCTCTTCTCCCTCTCCAATCCCTGCGTTAAGGGGCCTGCTGGGCCCTCGGTGTAACTGCCTGGGCGGCTGCCAGCACCCTCCTTCCACGGTGGACACATCAAACAGATCCTGAGTCTCGCAGTGAGGTTACTGCTCCAGGGCACAGGGTCTTCACGTTTGGACCCGATCCCGGGGCCATGTCCTGCAGGGACGGACAGGGCTGTGTCCGGTCTTTGGTTTGGAAACACAGGCCCCGCCCTGTGCTCGGGAAGCGGACTCACCTGGAGCTCGGGCCTTGCGATGAGCAGGGAGAAGTTCTTGTTCTCCTCGCTGGTTAGCAGGGCCACGGCCTCCTCGCGGTTGCGCACCTCTATCCCGTTTATCTTAAAAAAGGGAGAGAGGGTAGAGGGTGGTCAAACGCAGAAGCAGATCATGCAGAATAACGCTGCGCTACTCCATCTGTTACCCGCTTGGGGCTCGAACATGGAAGGTCCACGGACCTCGGAGAGAATGCTCCTTCTCAGGGGGCCCTGCCTGGACGGAGGCAGTGGCTGGCCCAGGACGGAGCCCCAGGGTCCAAGGCCAGGGCACCGTGGAGGCCATGTGAACGGAGCATGTGAAGAGGAAACGTGAGCAGCTGACTCAGACGTGAGACTCCGGCAGGAGTACAGGGGGAGGATGAAGGGTCATTACAGGTGTTTTAGGCCAGTGGTGGGCAAACTCATTAGTCCACGGGGCCAAATACTGTCTCAACAGTACAATGACTGAAATTTCTTTTGAGAGACACATTTTATTTATTTATTAAATATATTTAAACTTCTTCTAATGCTATTTCTTCAAAATAGAGTCGCCCGGGCCGTGGTATTTTGTGGAAGAGCCACACTCAAGGGGCCAAAGAGCCGCATGTGGCTCAGGAGCCCCACTTTGCCGACCATGGTTTTAGACTAACACGGGAGAAGCAGCAGGGGCAGGTCTGATGGGAGCGTTATGGAAGCTGAGGGCAGAGAAGGAAATGGGATTTGAAAGGGGGTCTGGGTCCCAGCCTGGGGCAGGGCAGACAGTCAGGGGAGGGGCTCTCTCACCACCACCCCTGGGAACCCTCCCGCAGGAGTGCGGCTGCTTGTCCTGAGAAGTTGGGGCTCTGCTGGTCTGGCCCCGGGGTGGGCGATTCCTGCAGGGGACATGGCTGGTCCCACTGAGCTGGGAGGTGAGATCCCACCAACTCCTACGCCTGTGCCCAACAGGCCCGCGGAGGGCTGACCACGCGGAGGACTGACTCCACGGCTGGGGTGATGGGTCCCGGTTACCAAGGAGAAATGGGGTGGCCGAGACCCCACAGCAACCACAGGAAGGCTGAGCCAACCTTAAGGTTTGGGGGCACCCCACCAGATGGGGGTCCCTGAGCAGCCAAGGTCTGGGTTGAGGTCTGAGGAATGTCGAATAAGCAGTGGGAAATGACAGAAATCCCTCACGGTGAGGAATGTCAGGACAGACATAAACACCGTAGCTCAGAGCACCAGGTGAGCTAGCTCCGCTGGGGTATGGGGCACTGCCCTCTCAATGGGGTGCCCCGCCCCACTATCTCTGTCCTCAGGGCACCCTGTGCATTGACTGTCCAGGGCTGGGCTTCACCCACTAGGCTAACTTGTCTGGCCTCCCTGCACCCCTGGCTTGTGGCCCCCCGTTCTTTAACCCTGAGCTGTTACTACAACTGGATTGATCTTCGCCGACAGGCAGGGCGAGGCCGACCTACCTGGATGATGCGGTCGCCTTCCTGGATGCGGCCGTCCTGGGCCGCGATGCTGTTGGGGTCGATCTGGAAAAAACAGCGACGGTCTCAGCACCGGGCGGGTAATTCAACGCGCACGGACACACGGACACACGGACACACGGCCCTCCCCAAAGGCTCCTGCCTAAACCGGACCCGCGTGATGCAAGGGAGCAAACACAGGTCGATCCACGCCTCCAAGCACTTTCCCGGGCGTGTCCTCCGGGCCCTGCCTGACAACCCTGCCCCACGGCCCTGTCCTGGCCCTGCCGGCCTCGGGGACGTGGGGCCCAGCGGGCTCTGGCTGCGAAGAAATGAAAATCGCTACGGTGACCAGCAACCGTGCCTCGGTTACTTCACCAAAAGTTTCTAATACATCTTGGAAAATGACTTTAAAACTGAAGTGGTCTGGTCTGGCTCAGTGGATAGAGTGCCGGCCTGCGGACTGAAGGGTCCGGGTTCCAATTCCAGTCAAGGGCACGGGCCCGGGGTTGTGGGTTCCATCCCTGGTGGGGGGTGTGCAGGAGGCAGCCGATCAATGATTCTCCATCTTTGATGTTTCTCTCCCCCCCCCCCCCGAAATCAATAAAAATATATAAAAACAAAACTAAGCCGAAACTGGTTTGGCTCAGTGGATAGAGCATCGGCCTGCGGACTGAAAGGTCCCAGGTTCAATTCCGGTCAAGGGCATGTACCTTGGTTGCGGGCACATCCCCAGTAGGGGGTGTGCAAGAGGATGTTTCTCTCTCATCGATATTTCTCTCTATCCCTCTCTCTTCCTCTCTGTGAAAAAAAAACAATAAAACATATTTAAAACAAAACAAAAAGTCCACAAAAAAACCCCCAAAAAACCTAAGTATACTAGTACTTGAGACACAAGGACTGACTGTGGGAAAGAGACCCTGATGGCAGTGCTGACGGACCCGCTGGAGCAGGTGGATGGAGGACATTCATTCAGAGGGAAGGCTCCTGAGCAGGACCGACACACCCATGTCCATCCCATCGGGACAGGCTCCGTTCCCAACAGAATCCATGCTGGGGTTACTGGCTGTGCAGCCTTCTCTGGAAGACCAAACAACGTCTGCCTCCCTGATCTGAAGACCAGCCAACGTGTCTGACTCCGACTACACACAGACCACCAAAAAGAAGGAGAGGGAGAGAAACACATGGCCCATGGAAGGATCCCACCCACCCATCCAATGAGCATGCCACCCGCAATGCCAGGCGGCCGCCTCCTCGGGGTGGAGCACACACAACCGTCCTAGGGCCGGTCTGCAGGGTCTGGAGGCTTCCCCAGGGCAGTGTCACCGTCGGTGCTGACATTAGGACATGACCCTGGGGAAGACGGGACTCCGTGGAGGGCGATGAAGGGGACAGAGAAGCGTGCCTGGGTCTTCCGAAGGGATTCGCAGGGAGGCAGAGTGAGGGCTGGTTACCCCAGGAGAGAAAGACAAACCACCCCGGCCCCCTTGGTCCCGCCGTGCTCGCTGCGAAGAGCTGCCCTCCTACCTCACTTATGTAGATGCCAAGGTCCTCCTCGTCGTCCGTGCGGTAGCACACGGTGAGGCCCAGCTTGTCCTGGCTGTTGGCGCGGTACAGGTCCACCTCCTGCAGAGAGAGGCCCCGTGAGCCCGCCATGCTCAGGGCGGCCACCGCCGGGGCCTCGGGCGCTTTGAAAATACTTCGTTTATAGATGATGGACTGGATTTCTTTGTAGCCGGCTAGGAGAGGGGGTAACCTACCCAGCCCAAAGCGATTATGGACTCGGGGTCAATGCACGGGGCATTTTTGACCTTTCCGTCACTAGAAAGTCATTTTGGAAATAGTTATTCTATTGACCCAGAAGAAAAATTACCCATATTTCACTCAACATCAAGACGTCGGGGGCAGGGCTTTAAAAAGCACTCCTTCCATGTCTGCCACAAACAGGAATATTTCCATGCCCCACACCTTCTGGCCCTTTTGAGATGAACATTTCAGTGCGTTCGGTTAGACCAGGGGTCGGCAAACTCATTCGTCCACAGAGCCAACTATCAACAGGACAACGACTGACATTTCTTTGGAGAGCCACATTTTTTTTTAAAGTTAAACTTCTTCTGACGCCACTTCTTCAACATAGACTCGCCCAGGCCGTGGTATTTTGTGGAAGAGCCACACTCCAGGGGCCAGAGAGCAGCATGTGGCTCGCGAGCCGCGGTTTGCCGGCCACCACGGGGTTCGATGACTTCAGGCTGTGCTGCCTTGCTATTCACGGTAATAGAACTTGCAAACGGATCTGAGAAAGGAGGGTAATGTGATCGCAGCGATGGCTGCTCCCCATGGCAGCTGTCACAGCCACAGCCCAGAATTACCTTCAGCCGCCAGGACCGCAAATTAAATAAACGGAGAGCCCGTCGGCGAGACACCTGAGCGCAGGGACGCTGCTGTGTCTGCCAATCAGTCCCACCGCGGAGCGCAGTCAGCTCTGGGGATGGCCGGGGCCTGGGAGGAGGTACTGGGGCCCGGAGCGAGCTGACCAGGCGGCCTCCTGACCTCTCCTGGGTGCAGCTGCACCAGGACGGTTCTGCAGCCGCCCCCCCCCACCCCCCCCCCCCCGGCTGTTGGGGTGCTCCCAGCGGCAGGTCCCTGGGTCTGGATTTAGTGTTATCTGCTCAACAACCCGGCAAGAAGGGCCTCTGAGCCACTGTCTTTGGGGACAAAGCCTTTCCTCCAGCCTCTTGGTCTGTCTTTGGGGTGAAGCTCAAAGCGGTTGTGTAGCAGCTACTTCCTAACTCTCCCTGGAAAAGGCGGGGTGCCCACTGCCATGGACACCCCAAGGCAGAACAGCAGGTGCCGGGGCCCTGGCCCAGGGGGGCGGGCACTCTGGGTGCCAGGACCGGGGGCGGGCTGCCTGTGGCCGGAGGGAAGGCTGGACCAGCGAGGGCCCCATGCCCGGCGGGAGTTCTCGTTTCCTTTGGGCGTTGTGGGACACCGTGACACGTTCCTTGGTCACCGCCATGCCCTGCACCCCTGCCTTTTCTTGGCCCGATGGAGTGTAATGTGGGGGAGAGCCGGGGCTGGGCCGACCTCCAATCCCAGCTCTGCCTCTATCTGGCGGCTTCTTCGGAGCTCATCACGGCGTCCCCGCCTGTTTCCTCACCGCGGTGCTGGCCAGGGGAGCGAAGGCGGCTATCAGGCAATTTCTAACCAGATGGAGTATCTGGGGCCCTGGGGGAAATGGCAGTGTATCGGGAGTTTTGTACAGTCTCAGCATTTCCTTCTGACGGTAAGCACACCACTGCAGGCATGCAGCTGGTCACGCCTCTGTCTGTGGCGCTGGAGGTACACTCTCCAAGCCCGGGAATAGACGGGATGAATAATGCACGGCCCCCTGCTCACCGCCCGCGCCCCCCCCCCCTCCCCCCTCACACACACACGGTCCTGTTGCCTCACATCTAGATGGCTCCCCGGATAACAAGGAGCGGCTCCGCCTGACATTTCAGACGCGGATGAAAGGCTGAAACGCTAGTCCAATTAAGAGAGTGACGGGGGCCCTTCTCCCGCAGGAGCCACGCTCTCCGTGTCCCCGCCCGACACTTCCCTCGAGGGCCCCAAGATCAGGTGACCAGATCGTCCCGCTTTTGGCAGGACAATCTCAACTTTCAACAATTTTCCCCGTGTCCTGCGGCTTTTTTAAAAGAAAAAAAAGTCCCGATTTTTGGAAAGATTGGAAAGATTCTTTCCAAAAATTGGGGACTTTTTTAAAACGCCAGAGGGACGCGGGGAAAAATTGTTAAGAATCAGGACTGTCACACCAAAAGCAGGACGATCTGGTCACCTTACCAAGGACCCACGGGACGGCTGGTCCACCTGCAGAGGGACGGCCCCTGAGGCAGAGTCCTGCCCGCGTTGGCCCAGGACGCCGCTGTGCACGCTTCTTTACGTGATCTCAACACCTCCTCTCGGCAGCGGGATGGAGAGCTGCCCCCAAAAGGCCACATTTCCCTGCACCTCAGCCGACCTTCATTTGACCTTACGTTCAGCTTACGTGCGGGATGGGGCACCACGGCCCCGACGCCTCCGCTCAGCAAGAACGTGCCGGTGCCCGCGCCCGGCCAGCACACCCCGGCAGGAGGAGTGTGAGGGAGTCGGCCCCGAGCCCAGCACTTGTGGGCCGGAAATCCAGCAGATCCATAACTCTACCCTTGTGTTATCTGAGGCCAAAGAGGACGGAAGGTTCTAGACGCCGTGCAATGCCAACTGGCCTCCGTGTTGCAGGCCACGGGGTCGGCTTCCCGGATGCCCTCGGAGCAGCGGGCCGCTGTCCTTTGCAAAGAAATCCGCCGGGAGCCCCCGGTCTGCGCGTCTAGAGGACTGACTCGTGTTCTCCCGGTCCCCACGCCGCGCCCTCACCTCCAGCTCCAGCTCCTCCCTGTCCAGGTCCTGGTGGGCGCCGCCCAGGTAGTCGCTGGGGTCGTAGTACTCATGGGCCGAGGGGTGCCTGCAAGGAGAGGAGCAGCGGTGAGGTCACAGGTCGCTGCCCCGGGCACAGGCCCGCCGGGCAGGCAGCGAGGCCCCCCCCCCCCCCCCCCCCCCCGTCGCCCCCATCTCCCGCTGTGATTCCCAGCCTGGAGGGCGCGTGGGCCGGCCCGTGGGGCCCCTCGCTCTGTGTCTATTACGAAGCACCGCCCGCACCCCCTCCCGCCGCCCCCACTTGCGGTGATTAAATTCTACCCCGAAACAACTTTTTACGACGTTAGTAATTTTGCTCTTAGACTATCATTTGAGTGACTCCGCTCCAGGGTGATAATAAAGTAATTAATGTGTCACAGGACCTGATTTATCGCTTCCTTAAACAAGGAAGGGGAGAAGGGGAACCCTGGGGTGAGGCACGGGGGTGGGGGGCGCTTACTCCTCGGGCAGGAGGTAGGGCCCCAGCGCGGGCGGGCTGGGCGGCGACAGCTTGGCGAGGGCCATGATGTGCTCGAAGGTGATGTCGGTCTGGGTGCCCGCGTCCACCAGCTGCGCCTCGGACGGCGCCGGGAAGGCCCTGGCCCGCGGCGTCCGCCGCAGCACCTGCACCACGATGGGCTCCTTGGCCGTCCGGAACGCCTCCACCGCCTGGTCATGGGTCGCCCGGGACAGGTCTTTGCCGTTGACCTGTGGAAATAGTTAGGGGGGAGAAACACGATGCTCAGGAAGCAGGATCCGGGAAGACGGTGTCCCCGTGCGAGCGGCCAGCGGGAGGGCCGCATGGGGACGTCCGGTCCCCCACGCTCGCTCTCTCCCCATCTCAGGTCCCCGGGGAGGGCCTGGCGGGAGGGTGAGCTGGCGGGTCTGCGGATGTGGCATCCATACCAGACCCACAGCCCACAGCGGGACGTCCTGGCTTCCCACTGGGATGTCTTGAACATAAGGTGACCAGACGTCCCGCTTTTGGCGGGACAGTCCCGATTTTCAACCATGTGTCCTGCGTCCCCAGGCGTTTTAAAAAAGTCCCGATTTTTTTTTTTTTTAAATGCCTCGGGACACATGGTTAAAAATCGGGACTGTCCCGCCAGAAGCGGGACATCTGGTCACCTTACTTTAACAGCAACGCGTACAGAGCGCGGCCCCAGGCTCGGTCGGGGCTCACAGTGAACTGGACACTAACCACATGGCCACGCGGCAGTGGGGGCCACTTCCCCATCCGGTGCCAGGGGGCGTGACTGTTCCTTTCCTGCGAGTGGCGGGAAGCTTCCTTTTGAAATGAATCCCTTTTGCTTTTCCTTCAAGGGCCAGCTGGACATAGGGAGCCACAGGCGGGCTCGGCGGGGAGCTCCAAGGAGCTCGGATGGCCCCACTGCGGGGAAAACCCAGCAGCCCGTGTAGTCGCCGGGTGTTTGCGAGTGTGCGCAGCCCTCGCACCTGCCCTTCCCGCCCCAGTCCTCGCCTCCCTCCCCCCAAGAGCATCCGGGAACCACTGGAGGCCGCCTGGATAGTTAGGACGTTGGTGCTGCCCCCCCGATTCTCCCGATTCTCTCCAGTGGCACCCTCACAACCCACTCACCCCGGCTGCGTCCGGAACAGCTCACACAGAGGACACGCAGCCGGACTGTTTCTGGAAAATGAAGTCGCTTACTTTCTCCCCTCCCGTCCCCCGAGGCAGAGGAACACGGTGTCACGTCCCCATAGTTTGGTTACATCTGGTGATGGCACCGCACGGACATCACTGGGCCCCAAAATACTTAGGGATAAGGACTTACTAAGAAACCAGGGGCTAATGGGACCGGTACCAGGGTGTCACATTTTCCCAGGAGGCAATCATCTACCCATCAAAGGAGCAAAACGCAGCCTCGTCTGGGGGCCTGAACAGCCTCTGTGCACCGAGAGGCCCCCTCCCGGCCCGTCTCATGGACCCGACACCCACACCGTCCATCCTCGGATGTCCAGGGCCTCGTTAGGGGGCCACAGACAAATGGTCCGGGGCTCGCCGCTCACCGCACAGGCTCTTGACACGACGCTGCAGGGCCATTACGCTCTCCTAACAGCCGATGAGACGCAAGGGAGTCCCTCGCCCAGACGACCCATCCATTCTCGCAGCCAAATTCCTTTTGAATTACCTTGTGCACATAACACTTATTGCACCGCCGTCTCAGAATCGCATCCCTGAGAGACGCGGCGGGCGAGGCGATGGCTCAGGCCGCCAGCCGCCCGCGGACGACAGCCGCCCCTCCCGGGCGAGCACCGTGGCCTCCTGACGTCCTCCTTGGAGGCGGCCCCCATGGCAGGAGGAGTGCTCGGCCAGGCGCGGCTGGCCCTGGCCGGCGGGTGAGGATCGCCCCACTGAGCAGGTGCTTCTACAACAGTCTACGCGGCCCTACCACCCAGTCAACGGAATGTTCTGGAACGAGCAATGCCGGCTGCAAAGTTTGTCTCTATTACAAATGAAGTGCGTAAGTTATTCACCGCGGGCTCTGGTACGGAGGCGGTGTAATTACGGCGGAAATCCAATCAGCCTGTCTCTAGGCACACACATCGAGGCCGCAAATACGACGTGACACTAAGGGACTCCAGTGTCCTCCCGCGGAAGGTCTCCGGAGACGAGACGATGGAGCCGAGGGCGTGGGGCGGTTCCTTCCCGGGTCCCGTGCCCGCTGCCCCTTCCCGCGTGCCGAGGACTAAGGCAGAGCTGGGGGCTTGTCCATTTGGGGGTACATTTTTACTGATGGCCCACCTGCCCACCTGTCCGTCACTCACTCTCACTCACTCACTCACAGGAAGCACCTGCTGAGGTTCCCCGGACCTGTTCCCTCCAGGCGTGCCCCTCGGGAGAGGTCCTGGGGCAGAAGTGAGGCCCCCCTGCCCTCGCTGGGGCACTGGCTGAGCCCTGAGCCCTGACGCAGGCTCCACGCTCACTGTCTCTGAGAGAGCCTGCTGGTTGAAGGCTCTCACCTCCCCGTGACTCCTTCCCACAGGGAGCCCGGAGCCTTGCGGAGTTCTCCGGGGCCCGAGGGCCAGCCGCTCAGGACGTGAGTGAATAGGACACTCGGAAAAGATGGCCTACTCCCTCCAGATTAAAAGGTAAGAGTCTTTCTGTGGGAAGACACTGGTTTCTGAGGACCCGCCCCTGGGGGTCACCTGTCTCCATCACACCTGCCGGCCCAGGAGAAGTGCTGATGCCATTTCAAACCCGGCCCATTGTCAATTCCGCCCCTGGGTGAAACCCCGCGTTTATGGGGTCCGTTTGATGAAATTAAGGGGCAGTGATTTCATTCTGCAAAACATCACACCCGTGTTTCCAAGCGAATTCAAACGTAGACTCCACTGGAAGCAAGAGGTGACCATACGCCATCCACTGGAAAGGGAAAGGTCCGGCCTGGGTTACGAAGGTTCTTGGAGGGACAGCGCCCCTGTGGTGACACAGGCAGTGACAGGACAGGGCGCCACGGGAGATGTCTGGGGTGAGCCTGGAGCGGCCCCTGCACAGACAGCTGCATGGGGAAGGCGAGAGAAGTGCTGACCCTGCCTCATCGAGATGTACCCCGGGGGGCCAGGTGCCCCCGGAGCCCCCGGTTCCTCCTTTGGGGAAAGAGAAGCCGGGGGGATGCCCAGCACCCCCAGCATTAGGGTCACGTGGTGGGAGCCCCCACTCTGATGTCCAGCTCCAGGGAGTCTGTGGGCTCAGCTGCTGGGAATGGGCCTGGGGAGAAGGTGAGGGACCGGCGGACACCACACAGGGACCCCAACACCTCGCAGACAGAGGCACGCCCCCAGTGCCAGGTGGCAACCCCAGCCCGAGGCTCTGCTCACCGGCAAGGCCGGGCGGGTGACTCTGACCCGGGCCCTCGCGGGTGCAGACCTGCCTGGGTCAGAGCCTCAAAGGAGCCAGCCAGCCATTGGTGGCCCGGGTCCCGGTGGGTCCAGCCCGCAGGGAGCCGAGGCCCAGCCCCACCTGTGCGGGGAGCGCCCGGTCCCCTCTGAACAGAAAGGCCGCCGGCCACTGAGACCCGAGAATAAGATAGGACACTCTTGTCAGAAGAAACCACAGATTCTTTCCGGGCCTCAGTGTCCTCCCTGTAAGTGGGGGGAGCACTCTAGTCGCTAATGAAGGATGATGACTTTGAACGTAGGACTGTCACCCCCTATGGCAGAGCCACATGCAGCTCTTTGGCCCCTTGAGGGTGGCTCGTCCACAGAACACCACGGCCTGGGCGAGCCTGTTTTGAAGAAGTGGCTTTGGAAAAAGTTTACGTTGAAAAAATGTGGCTTTCCAAAGAAATGCCAGTTGTTGTCCTATTGATGTTCGGCTCTGTGGACGAATGAGTTTGCTGACCAGGGGCCTATGGAGACTTAGGTTAAAACATCCTGACTTCAGCTGAGGCCAGTTTGGCTCAATGGATAGAGCGTCGGCTTGGGGACTGAAGGGTCCCGGGTTCGATTCCAGTTAAGGGCATGTACCTTGGTTGAGGGCATATCCCCAGTGGGGGGTGTGCAGGAGGCAGCTGATCGATGACTCTCATCGATGTTTCTGACTCTCTATCTCTCTCCCTTCCTCTCTGTACAAAATCAATAAAATATATATTTAAAAAAAAAAAAATCCTGACTTCAGTTTCTGGCCCTCAGTGTAGTGACAGGACAGCCTCCCGCCGGGCAGGGGTCCTGCAGACACACCCCTACCCCCCCCCCCCTCGGCCTCAGCCCAGGGGCCCACAGACAGCCTCCGGCCACCTGGAGACACGTTGTTTGTGGACCGGAGTGCATGCCAACGCACCGGGCCAACAATACCCACCCCGGCTGACGGCTGGCCGGCGCCCAATTCTGAGCTCTCTCCGGCTGCCGGGCTGTCAGGGAGGCCCCGGAAGGAAGCGAGGGGGACTGCTTTGCCGTCAGCAGGGGCCCAGGAAGTGGCGGGCGGACTCCAGTCCCTGTGACGGAGAAGCACCGGCAGCGTTTCCCACGATGATGGATGAGACGTGGGTCAGATTTGCTAGAAACCAACCAGAAGCCAATCCCCTGGGAAAGGAATTAATGGGCCAAACACTTGGTAGTGCAATTAGGAGATGAGAAAAGGGAGGGGTTTCCAGAGGGGATGGCGGAGAGCAGTGTGGGTGGGGGGTTCTGGTTAAGCCACGTTGAAGGCCGGGCCAAGAACCCAGCCCGCTTTTTATTAATTTTTAAATATATATATTTTATTGATTTTTTTACAGAGAGGAAGGGAGAGGGACAGAGAGTTAGAAACATCGATCAGCTGCCTCCTGCACACACCCTACTGGGGATGTGCCCACAACCAAGGTATATGCCCTCGATCGGAATCAAACCTGGGACCTTTCAGTCCGCCGGCCAACGCTCTATCCACTGAGCCACACCTGTCTTGGCATCAGCCCACTTTTTATATATTTTATTGATTTTTTTACAGAGAGGAAGGGAGAGGGATAGAGTTAGAAACATCGATGAGAGAGAGACATCGACCAGCTGCCTCCTGCACACCCCCTACTGGGGATGTGCCTGCAACCAAGGCACATGCCCTTGACTGGAATCGAACCTGGAACCTTTCAGTCCGCCGGCCGACGCTCTATCCACTGAGCCAAACCGGTCCCGGCTCAGCCCACTTTTTAAAGAGCAAAGTGTTCCGAGGGGCGGGAGCAGACGCCGGTGGTGTTCGCGTGCGAAGCTTCGGG